GGGGGGAGCGGGCATAGTGACGTCAATTCGATGAGCGACATGCAAAAGCTCTTGGCATCTACAGCATTTTTGCTGATTTTGCGTGGGTGAGGCACGTTCCACCATGGCCTTCTTCCTCGTAGGCTCTTGACAGCCCACACTTCATATTTAAGGGAACATAGTTGGTAGGGGGGGGGCGGCTAGTGGTGGTAGTAGTAGTAGTAGTAGTAGTAGTAGTAGCGGCAGCGTGGTAGTGGTATTAGTAGTAGCAGCAGCAGCAAGCAGCAGTAGTAGCAGCAGTACTGGTGGCAGCAGCAGTATAGTGATAGCAGTGGGAGTAGGAGGAGGCGGAATTCCAGAAGTAGTAGAAGTCCCCGTCGACATAGTTCAACACTAGAAGTAGGGGTAGGACGAGGACAACTATTGCTGCTGCCATTCCCACCGCTCCGGCTCCTGACCGTAGTCAACCCTAAGCCATAAACAGTAGTTTCATTTTCTCTTCCAGTATCCCTAAACAGCCCTAAACCCTAAATAGTACTTTCCATGTTCTTTTCCGTTATTCCTAAACCCTATATAATTCCTACATTATACCCTTATATTCCCTTATTTGAGAAGTCTTTCTGTTTTGCTGGTTGACAGGATCCAGACCTTGGATACACTCAAGGCATGTGTTTTGCAGCCGCTGTGGTGGCTTTGGGTGACGGAGAGGTTTCAGAAAAGCAACAGCGATTCAGCCAGATGATGCAAAAGCTGCGTCGCTTGCTTCAAGACTTTAACACTCAGGCAGGCATCAGGGAAGTCATAGGAGGAGGAGGTGGTGCTGTAGGTCGCTACAGTATACAAAGAACACGCAAGACTTGCGATAAGCTTTCTGAATCACATGACATGCATGGTTCCAACTCCCCCTGAAACCTTTCCGTCACATTTTCCATTCTTATTCTCCATTATCGGGATAATCTGTCCCCATTGTGCCTACATCCTAAACCGCCAAATACATAACCGCTCTAAATATCCACTAAGCCCTAAACCCTAAACCCTGAAGCCCGGAAATATATAACCGCCCTAAATATCCCCTAATCCCTGAACCCTGAGCCGTAAACCCTAAACCCTAAATCCATAAAGGAAAACCTAAAGCCAGCAACTCCTAAATCTACATTCCCCTAGTTTCCATTTCATTTTCCATTTTCTTTTCCATTTGATTCTCCATTATAGGGGGAGAATATCCCTATATAACCCCAATATATGCCAGCAGGCTGCCTTCCCGAGGTGATTTGTGGATTCCTGGCTTCCCCCTCGTGGAGCAAGGCGTCCCCATGGTAGAGTCCATGCTGGCCAGCAAGGATCCGGAGCTCATGCACCTGGATGGCCGTTAAGGAACTAAAATGCGGCTACCGTAATTTGAGGTATTTAGGGTTTGGGGTTTAGAACTTTTAGGGTTTAGGGTTACTATAACATGGGATGAAATAATGGGGTTTCTTCGTTACAGCAACTCATTTTGAGCTCCTTAACAGCAAGCCAGGCACCACTTGTATCAGAACATCAACATGGCAGCTTGGGCTTAGACTGAAGTTCATGATCATGATCGCATCTCTCCTACATTTTTTTGTGCACGCAACTTGCCCCAACAACCTTAACCCTAGACTCTAAATCCTAGACCCTAAAACCTAAACCCTAAATCCTAACTCCTAAATCCTAAACCCCAAATCCCTAAACCGCTGAGGACCTGGGGATGGTGATACCCAGTGCCTGGTTATCTGTCTTTGGAAAATGGCTGCCCATAGACGTTCTCCAGGAGATCGTTCCCTTCCTTGAGAAGGACTGGCTGGGCACGGTGTCTGCCTTTTCACGGCCAAACCCTAAAGAAGGGATTACAATAGTACACCCCCCCCCCCTCCCCCTTAAAGTCACACCCCGAAAGTTTAAGGAGCTAATAAGGACTATATGGGGCTTAATAAGGCCTAATAGGGTTCCAAATCTGGGCGGGGTACTAGTGTAATCCCTTACTAAAGCCTAAGACTAAAACTCCTGAAGGAGGGGCTGCCAGGATTTGCCCTGGCCTCAGCTGTAGTATCCGTTCCTATCTCTCATTTGCTTTTCCATTTGATTTTCCACTATTGCGTAACATCCCCAATATAGTCCCTATATAGCCCTATCATATCCTAACAACCTAAGCCCCCATAGTAGTTCATATATGCCCCCAATATTTTCTTGGAGTAGAGTGAGCTTCTTGCCCGCTTGGCGCAAGCCATGTCGAGGTCATTGTGACCTTTTTGATGCTGCTGGCCCACCGCGAGAAACTGCTGGAAGCTAGCCCTTGTTTGTACTCTTGATGTACAAAATCCTGCATGACCCAAAGTCTAGCATAGTACCAGAACTCTCATAGTGTAGGTATATAGGGCCATGCAGCATTTCGTCCATCCACCCCAAAAAACATTCCAGAACTTCAATTTCTGTTGAATTTTCGACTTGCGTTTACTTTTGGTCCTCCATTGTTCGGATAAGGTGTCCCTAAACCCTAAATCCCAAACCCGATACATCCCAAATTTAAGCCCTGTATCCCTTGTATTGTATTGCAGTGATGCCGGCTGTTCCATGTTAAGCCAAGGCTGCGCGCAGTTTGGACGAGATCCTTCCCTACATTAATAGCTTTGCCAAGGAAGCCGCGCCAGACGAACTTCTGAGTGTTTGCCAGCTCTCCGTTTTGCAGTTAAGAAGTGGAAAAGATAGCATGTCATGGGTAGCTGCTGTTGCCGGCTGAGCTCAGTCAGTATTGCCGCGCTGCACGCAGCCTACCTAGACTGCTGTTCCACAAGATAGGAGGATGGCAAATCCCAAGGCTTTGCCAATTCTAATTCCAGAATAGCTCGTGAAACCGGGTCTCTGTACAGGTTTCGGTGTTGCCACTAACTGACCTTCCTCAAGGGAGACCTGCACAGCAGTAGCGGCCGCCCTGAAGAACAAAGACAAAGCTGCTTTAGCTTTCGATTCCGCGTGGCATGACATAGGGGTCTATACAACATTTGTGGATCCCTGTTTGGGGGGCCCTATAACAAAGGATTATGATGAGTATCTTGTGGTCCACTTGGGGGCCCCCTGTTTATGGAAAGCCCCTCACTTGTCTGTCCACCAAGGACCTCCGCGCAGCAAAGCTATGCTGGCACCGTCCACGAGGGCCACGGTCAAGGGCTCTCCTCACTTCGTAGCGTGCTGTGTTTCAACATGTGGGTGGTTGTCAAAATCATGGTCCTTTTGGATCCCCATTATGATACGGCACCTAATATTTAGGGTGCCCAAAAAGGGACCATAATTTTGACAACCACCCATGTGCTTTGCAGCCCGTTCGCTCATCAGATGTGTGCAAGGCAAACCGAGTTGACATTTCCACGGGCTCCTGATAGGGTCGCAGCGCATCCTTCTGCGACCAGTCCCGTCACTTGCCATGGCGCCATTCTCCGCCTATGGCAAGTGCGGAGATGATGCGCTGGCCGCATGTGCATGAGGCTGCAATTCTGTTGTGATCTGGGTTGGGCTTCGAGATGCCAATATCTTGGTCCATCCAAGGGGATATGCGTAGGCTATATCTGTCAGGAAGTGGGTGGTGGACATAATGTTTGCTATAGGGATTATATAGGGCGTTTTATAGTGGTTGTTAAGGGGGATGCTTGAAGTTTAGATTAGCTCATATTAGGGGAGGGTTGTGGAGCGAAGGGGGTGGGGTTGGGAGGCGGGGGGTGTATAGGGGGTATGGGCAAGGGATGTTTAGGTTTGAGGGTCGGAGGGACATGTGGGTTTAGGGGTCTTTGTAGAGGCAAGCATAAGTCGTCCCTTTGGGTGGTTAGGGGGTTTGCACAAGGGATACTTTGGGCATATGGGTCCCTCAAAAGTCCCAAGACATGTTGAAAGCCCTAGGAACACTGCCAAACCACCAGTGGGACAGGGTACGGAAGCAGCCCTTTTGTTTGTTGTTCAATTAGAAGGCTGCTGAGGTGAGGGACGTTGAAAGGGGAGGGTGGGGGTGGAGGGGGCGAGTTCGGGTTCAGGGTCGTTTAGAAGGGCCCCAAGGAAGTAGGAAAGTTAGCCCTTGCCCTGAACTGGCCCTAAACCCCAAACTCCTGAACCCTAAGCACCTTGGCTACTGAGCTTCACAGGCCTGATGAGCAGCTCGAGGCTTCGGCAAAATTCCTCCTACGACTGACAGAGAGTGAGGCTCCGACATGATCCCCAAAATGGAACCTCCCAATAATCCCCTAGATGTCCCCATGTAGTAATGGGACCATTTTTGGGGTGGTTCCATTCTTTGGATCCTTCAAGGGGTTGGGGCAGTCAGAGTCCCACAAGTTTTGGTGGTGGAAGCCCAAGGATGCTGTGCAGGCACCGTTTTCTCGCGTGCTTCATGACTATGCCGTCAGAGCCTTGAACGGAGGCTAGCGAGTGTTAGATGCATGGGATGTATGTGGATAGAGCATGCGCATGCTTGGAAGGCTCTCCAGCTGAGCAGAGGGATGCCATAGCGGCACTGGCAAAGCAGGCGCTCGCATTGGCACCGGCTGTGGGCGGTGATTCCGAATCTTGCCTTCAGCGGATGCCGATCATCATTACGACGCCACACGCCAGGCATGCCACCATCACGGCTCCATGCAGCAATAATTGAATGCTACTTACTGCTCCAAGGAAGACCGCGTTGCAGCAGGAGTTGCTGAACTACATGCAGATGATGACTTTTTGGAATTTGATTTGGTGGTAGCGCAGGCTTGCTGGCTTGCTGCCTTGTTGATGCAATATCACGGCATACACATTGCCATGCAAAAGCACATGCCTATCGTCTAAGCTGAATCTCTCCTAATGACACCTATAGTAGTCCCCTATACAATCCCCTATATATGCACGCTTCATGGAGTTTGGACTATGATTCACATGCAGCAGCCTTCAGGATTGCATGCTACTTAATGTCACACGGGCAGAAGTAAGGCTATGTATGACATGAATCTTGGGTTGCTGTTAAGGACCTTAACTTAAGTTATTACAATGAGGCAACCCCGTCATTTACTACGTACCGATATTCTGGCAACTTACTTCAACTACTGTAATAGACCTCACAGGCAACCCAGCATCGTGTATGTATGCCCTATTATACTATAGTAGTTTCCATTTTCTTTTCCATTATCCCTATATAATCCCAATAATATACCCCATATTCACCGTAAACCCTAAACCCATATACTTCATGCTATTGTAGATCCCTGCAGGCCATTGCTGCGGGCGTCGCCTGCGTAGCAGCAGGCATCGACACCTTCCCGGACCAACCATGGCTGCCAGTGATCGAGGAAAACTCGATTTAGGGTTTAGGTACACCAGTATATACCCAAAATGCAGCCTATATATATATATATATGCTCACTCCCCCCCCATGATCCACCGAAGAGGTCTTTTTTGGTGAAAATCGTATCTCAGTTTCGTTCATGTACATATATGCGGTCCCTTCGTTGAGTCATAGGATCCTGGAATCCTGCATACATGGTTCTGCATCTGATTCTAAGCCAAATAGATTCCAATTAAAGTTTTATTAGATTTAATAGGGGAATTTTGGATTGAATATGTTCATGTGGGAATCCTCGAGTCGTGGATTGCTGGTTTTGGACGTGATCCAGGTTCAGAAAATCACTTGTTAAATTCAATTAGATTTAATATGAAAGTCGTGGAATCCTAGGTTCCTGGCAGTGGAATGGCTTCTGGTCTACATGACTCCTTTATATAAAATCAATTAGATTTAATACAGAAATCCTGAATTCAATATATGAATATCGGAATCCTGGAGTCCTGGACTACTGATTTTGGATGTGCTCCTGGTTCACATAAATCCCTTATTAAATTCAATTAGATCTAATACGAAAATCATGGAATCCTAGGTTCCTGGTTTTGGAATGGATTCTGATTCATTTGAACCCCTTATAGAATTTGATTAGAATTAATATGCAATCCTGTAATACTGGATGCTGGTTTAAATAAAGCCTCTACATAAAACTATTTAAATGAATACCGAAGTTTTGGAATCCTT